CTGTTGGCATTTTGAAATCCACCTCCATCCGCAACACACACACACACACACACACACACCTCCAGTCTGAGTTTCCACACTGGCGGAGTAATTCTGCGAGCAGACTGCCGGGGCGGACCACACTCCGCCAGAAGCCTCTACGGCTGTGACCCGGCCCTGGAGCTCTGGCCCTGGAGCTCCGGCCCTCCCCACCAGATGCTGCACATCTGAGCCTCCAGAGAGCACTTGAGCTGATGAGTTAAACCATTTTCGCAACAGAGGAGAGGCTGTCTTCTCCAGACTGGATAAACAAGATACTAACAACAGGAATTCATTTCCTAGAAATTAAACGCCGAATTTGTTCGTGTTTACAGGATCCAAATCCTCTATTCGCCATCTGCTTTCCCTGCTGGGAGGCACAATCCAGCCATGATGAGGCGCACCACTTTCGGAGTCAGGTAGACCCAATGCTCCCCAGCTCTGCCATTTCCTAGTTCTGTGCCCTTGGGCAAGTTCCTCAACCTCTCTGAGCCTCTACCATTTCAATAGCCATTGCCTCATCCATTTGATAACTATTTATTTAAAGCCACGTGTTGTTGGCATGAGCAAACAAATGTGGACCCTGCTCCCAGGAAGACGTACAGTGGCCCTGGGGAAACCCTCCCGGGACCTGGGGTCACAGACGTGATTGAGGATGACACGGGAGTGTAAAGGGACCCTTGGGAAGGCAGGAGGGACAGGTAGCCTGCTGCAACCCTGAGACCCCCTCTGAAAGTGGCTTTGGAACAGAGCCCTGGCAGACAAATGGAATCAGCAAACGAGGAGGAGATGGGGGTCAATGGCGCCTACGCCACAGGAATGAAGCTGGGAGAACCCTTCCCTCCATGCACCCCAAATCCTATTTCTTCATTCTCTATTGCCTAATGATCCTGAGGTGGCACAGTCCAGCCCTTTCCTCTCATCCCCCTGTTCACCTGCACTCAGCAAAAGAGCCCATCTCCAGCGTGGTTGAGACCTCCTCCTGCAAAAACTCTATGGTTCACTCCTCTGAGCCTTTGCACAGGCTATTCCTTCCAGCTGGAATGCCCTTCCTTTTGTCTCTTTCAACCCTCCCGCAGTGTCTTTGGGCCCTAGGAATGATAGAAATCACTTCCTCCTCTCCATCCCGTGGGTTACCTTAAAATTTTTTTTTAAATTTATTGATTTGAGAGAAACATCTATCTGTTATTCCACTTATGCATTCATTGGTTGCTTCTTGTGTGCACTCTGGCTGGGGATCAAACCCACAACCTTGGTGTATAGGGATGATGCTCTAACCAACGGAGCTACCTGGCCAGGGCTCCACTGGTCTCCTCACCATGCATAACACTGGACTCCCCTGCATTTGGCTCACATGCTGACTGCCTGTCTCCCTGTCGGACTTGACTTCCAGAAGAAAGGAGGGACAGGTGTGCCCTGTCTTCTGAAGCCCAGTGTCCTCTGTGTAGAGTGTCCTTCCGCCTCACTCACCCATCCAATTCCAACTTCAACCTCACCATCGAATTTAACTGTCTCCTCCTGGCTGAAACGAGTCCAACCAAGTAGGGTCAGCCCCTCTCCCCAGTCCATAAAGTGCTTCACGTTTATGATTAGCACGCACGTCTCTCGACATCCTGCAGTCTAATGCTGTGGGGCTCTCACCCCTAAGATGGCATACTCCTGGAGCAGAGATCTGGTTTTGTTCATGGCTGTATGTTTTGGGCTTAATACTTACAGTGGTTCGGTAAGGATTTACTCAAAGAATGAATGAAAGAACACTGACGGTTTTACCTTTGACACCTTTCTCTGTACCTCTGGCCCCCAATGTCCTCTGGTCATTCCTCCCTGATGTCCCACAGGGGCCCCAACCTCAATGAAGCCACCATCTTCCTCACCCACACCAGTCCCTCCCTGTTCCCTCCTTGGTCTGCTTGTTCACCCATTCCCAACACCACGCTCCTCCCTCTCCCATTCAGCATTTAACCAATTCCATCTCTTTCGTGAATGAGGAAGCTGAGGCTCAGAAAGCTGATGTGATCGGCTCAGGGTTCCACAGCAAGTACATGCCCAAGGCCAGGGCCTTGCTCTCTGAACAGACTGGCCTCCCTCCTTAGCTTGACCTCTCATTCCCCTCCAGGCTCTGTCTTCTTTTCCCTGACTTCTCTACACACATTTGGGGCATGTGCATCTCGGTTCAGGCTGACAGACTGCCCTCTGCCTGGAAGAGTGACCTTTCCCACTCCCCTTCATTCATATTGATTGTAATCTGCTTTCTGTTCTCTGAGCTCGGAGGTCCTTCTCAAAGACCACCTCCTCCTCCCCTAGTCAACCAGCGGCAAAGTCTCCCTCCTTTATACCCTCTCCCGATTGGAGGTTTGCTTGTGCCTGTGGCTGGAAGCTCCTTGGGGAGCTCCCCTCCCTACCCCAGTGCCAGCAGCTCGGTAGGCTGCAATCGATATAGAGCAACTCCTCTTCCACGGCTCACACAAGCCCTGGAGAGATAACAGCATTCTCTCTCTCCCGTCTGAAACTCTCTGCTGGCTCCCTTGTCTAAATAAAATCCAAAATCTCACCGTGGCCCACAAGGCCCTGTATTAGCTGTGTCCCCACCCCACCCCCAGCCAGCCACCTCTCTGGCCTCATTTCCGACCATGTGCTCCCCTTAAATATCATCTCTTAGGCGAAGCTTTGACCAGCCAACGTAACGTAGCTCTCACTCTCTATTATACTGCCCCTGCTTCATGCTCATTTTAGCACTTCCACCTATCTGCCACCAGCCTGAGAAAAGTTCTGGGCTGGAGACACACATTTATGAGGTCATGTGCATATAGAGGCAGTAACTCAAGCCCAGTGGACGAGACCACCCAGGGAGAGGAGAGGAGGGCCTGGGAGAGCAGAGTTGCTAATGGCTGTGGAAAGGAGGATGAACCTGCAAAAACAGAGGCACAGCAGGCAAAATAGACAGTGCTAAGTTGCAGGAGCCGGAAGAGAGTGTTCCCAGAGCAAAGGAATGGTCAACAGGGTCAGCGGCTGCTAAGAAAGTTAGAGACCAAACAGCATCTGCTGAACTCAGCTTCCTGGAGGACACTGGCGGCCTGGGCAGACCCCCCGCCCCACGCCCCTCTGTGGGCCTCAGACAGGAGCCATCTGTGCGATGAGAGGAACCTCTTAGGTCCTGGGAACTCTCGGCTCCGAGATTCTGCACACATTCACACACCAGTCACCAAGAAGAACGGTCGACCATCTGCGGCCTCGAAGAGGAGGGACGCCCCAGAGTTCTCACCTTCAGAACTCTCCCACAAGGTAAGTGACAAACTCGGAGGAAGCACCTCTGTGCTTCCAGCCCTGTACTGGGCGCCGTGGGGAGGACAGCAGGCACTAGGTCATACCGGTCATGGCCAGCAGGCCAGCTCCCTCACTCCTGTGCAACCCGACCTTCTATGGCCTGGCTTTCCTGGCTGCCTCCATGACGAAGACCACTCACTTCTCCCCACCAGCTGGACAGGACCAGAAGCTGGAGAAGGCCCATCCACCCAGGTGGCCTTGCTTGCTTGCTTGCTTGCTTGCTCTGTTGGTGAAGTGTCCCTCCATGTCCTTGGAAGGAGGGCAGAGACCCTGGCCAGAGGCTGTGCAGGCCAAGGGACAGCAGAGACCCACAGTGTGCGTTGATCAGAGAACACTGGAGCCCTGGCTGGCGTGGCTCAGTGGACTGAGTGCCGGCTTGCAAACCAAAGGGTCTCCAGTTCAATTCCCAGTCAGGGCACATGCTTGGGTTGCGGGCCAGGTCCCCAGTAGGGAGCATGTGAGAGGCAACCACACATCGATGTGTCCCTCCCTCTTTTTCTCTCTCCCTTCCCCTCTCTCTAAAAACAAATAAATAAATAAAATCTCTTAAAAAGAAAGAAAGAAAACAGTGGAGGTTGAGTCCAAGAAAGAGACCGAAAAGGACTGAAAGGCTGCCGTTGCCACCCAGAGCAGTGACAGCCACTAAGGCCTGAGCTGCTCTTTCTGCACAGGTGCGGTGCTGAACAATGACCCCACTTGATTTGCACAGCTATTCCCACCTCACACGGCAGGAAAGCAAAGCTCAGAGGTTAAGGGCTTCCCCAAGGTTACACAGCTAATAAATAGCCAGGCCCAGTTGGTAATGCAGACAGTCTGACTGAGAGCCCCTGCTCTGAATCCTTGGACTTCCCCGGAGCTGCCCTGGTGGAGGGACTTGAGTCTTATATTCTCTTACAAGCAGTGTGACCTTGGACAAGATTTATTCTCACTCTCCACATCTGCAGTAAAGCAGATTTCTCAGTGTCCTTCCAGTTCTGACTTTATGTAATTAGCTAGGATTTGCACCGAACTTTACAGTTTATAAAAAGGCATCCATCCATTCTACATCTCATTTATCCACCCCCCCCATCCCGCATGGGGGGAGAAGTATCCCCTCCATTTGGTAGATGTGCACACTGGGGTTCTAAGAGATGCGGTGACCTGGTCAGGGCCCCCTGGGCTTCTGGTCTGGAAGCCCTGGCTCCACGCGGGACGCTCCTTCAACTCCCCTCAAGAACAGGGCGGTCCCACGGCCGCACCCCGACCTGGCCGGCAGGGGGCAGCCCCCGTCGCCCATGGGCTGCAGGGGCCTGGTGGGGGCGTCACAGCCCCCTGCCCACAGTGGGGGAGCCCCTCCCGCCCCACCAGATCTTGCTTCCACACGGGGCACCCCAACGCGCACAGGACACCCCGCAGCTCGTCCGAGCGCAGCCTCGGACCACCCTCCATCGCGGGGCTCTGGACGGCGCTCCTAGATGCTCCCCTCGGACTGCGCTACTCCTCCGGGACCCTCTTCCCCACGCGCCTCCCATCCGAAGGCGCCGGGAGGTGGGGCGCCTTGGGTCGCCGAGGCCCGAGCCCAAGCGCCCTCTCCCTGCCCCGCGCCTTCGGCCAGACCGCGAGCCGCGAGGGGCCCCGGTGCGCCCCTCTCCGGGCGGCACTCGACTCCGAGCGCTTACCCGCTCGCCCTCCCGGATCCTGCTTCTTCGCGCCGCGCCGCGTCTTGTCTCACCGGCCAGCGACCCCCTCATCTCCGCGGTCACCTCAGCCGAGCTCCTAGGCGCCGCCCGCCCCGGCCCCCCCTTGCCCGCCACCCCGGCCCTCCCCGGCCATCGCCCTGCGCTCCCGCACTCCCTCCACCCCTCGCAGCGCCCTGCAGCGCCGGCTCTCGCTCCCCTTCCTGCGCCCGCTACTCCTCCTCCTCCTCCTCCTCCTCCTCCTCCTCCTCCTCCTCCTCCTCCTTGCTCCCCTCCCCCCAGCACCTCCCTCGCCAGGCTTCCTCTCCACTGGGCCCCCGCCCGCCAGGAGGCTCGGCCCCTTCCAGCCCCAGCCCCAGCCCCCAGCCCCCAGCCCCCAGCCCCCAGCCCCAGCCCCAGCCCCAGCCCCAGCCCCAGTCCCGCAGGATCTCCTAGGACCACCCGCCTTCGCAGCCGCCCCAGCCCCGTCTGTGGGAGGGAGGGTGGCCTGGGTCTGGAGTGGGGGTGGGGGTGAGACGTGGGCCACGCCCAGAGACCCTCGGGGAAAGCCTGGGCTCCCGCAGCCGACCCTGTCCCCTGTGCGCATCCCCAGCTGGATTTTTAAAAATTCATTTACCAAAAGTGTTTCTCAGTCCACTGTGTATCAGGCAGGTTCTAGGCACTGCGGGTACAGCAGAGAACAAAACAGTAGACCCGGTGGAGCTTACGTGAATGTAAGAAGTAACACTTAGCGGTAAACGGTACGAAGGAAGGTAAAGCAGGGGAAGGAGACAGAGAGTGAGGGGACGCACTGAACAGGGAGGTCAGGGGGTCTCACCGAGGAAGTGCCAGCTGAGCAAAGACAGGAGGCGAGAGAGTGGGCCCTGCACAAATGTGGGGGGACAGCGGGCTAAGACCCTGAGGGGCAGTGACCGGTGGGTTCTGGGCTGAGTGAAGGGCAGGAGCTGAGGTCGGAGGCAGAGAAAGGCACAGCTCCCTCCCTCGTTCAAACAGCAGATTCCCAGTAAGGGAGGCAAGCCCCCAGGTTCCAGTGGGTGTCGGGGGTGCTGGGATGACTCTGCCTGGCTCCAGAGAACTGGGGTGCAGAGGCCTGAGCACAAAGAGGAACCATGAGAAATGTCCACTGAAGAGGCGCCACGCTGGGCGCGTCTCATGTCCAGATTTCATTGGCTCAGGGGGGGCTGGCCTCCTCTGTCCTTATGGGTTCTCTGTCAACTTGTTCTTCGTGTATTTTGAGGCCTTGTAGTGAGGTGCACCTGCCATTAGGATTAGGTCCTCTTGAGTCCACGCCCTTATCACCGAGAAGTGATCGGTAGTTCTTGTGAAATCCCCTGAGCTTGGTGTAGGACAGGCCAGCGGCACCCCCTGCCTGCACAGCTGTTCCCCACTCGGCGGGCGGCGCACCACAAGCCCAGCAGCCCCTCCGGGTCCCTGCGCCCTGCCCCACGAATTCCCTGCCCGTCCGGCCTTGCCCCGCTTGCTCCACACCTCGCCCTTCTGGATTACCGGCGGGTGACTGGCCCGGAGCCTGCATCTCTGTCAGCATCTCTCTTTTTTGGGAGGCTGTGATCAATGATCATGAATAATGCAAAAGTTCTTTTTGTCTTAGTGCAAATCCCAGGCAAATCAATCGCTGGCGAGTAGACAAGAGTTATCAGTGGCCACGCCTCAGCCTTCTTCACTCTACTCTGGCCCTGGGCTCTCTTCCCAGAGAAAACATAGGAGAGATTGAGTGATGCCAAATGGAGGCATGTCCCAAAATAGGTACTGCTGCTGATACCCCAAGGTGAACAGGCCTAGGGGAGGAAGGGAGGCAGGGGTCCTGGTACACAGCCCTAGCATTTGCAGCCGCTGCAGGGGTCCCAGCCTGGGCTCCTGCAGCAGGGAAGTCTGCGTGGCTGGGTGAATGTACACGCACCCTGGGGCTGTGTCCTCGCTGAAAAGACCCCATGGCCCCAGAGGCTGCCCCGACCAGGGATGAGCCACAGAAGGGACGGGAGAGAGGGCAGACCTTGAGCAGCGTCTCGGGACGCTCTAAGAAGCTTGCATCATTTAACAGCAAAAGCGGTTCAAGGCGGTAAATGCCATTGGGAAGCTGGTTTAAGCAAAAAGCGGGGTCTGCTGGAGAAGGTTCGCTTCAGCCTCTCTGCCCTCGCCCTGGGCCAACGGGTGTGTTAAGCACAGTCTCTACTCTCGGGAAGCTCATGGTTCAGGGAGGAAAAACATCCCATGCAGTTAAGCACAGCCCAGGGGGGGAGAAGGGACAGAGGTAGCAGAGGAGAGCACGCCCCACCTGGGAGGTGGGTGAGGTGAACACCTGGACTGGGCCTTGAAGGGTGGGGTGGGAGGGAGGCATCTGAGCACAAAAGGGGCAGGGGAAGCAGAGAAGTTCCCTGGTAGAAGGAACAGCATGTGCAAAGGCACAGAGGCTACAGAGAGAGTTTGGTCTGTAGATACTGCTAGAGTGGGGGGAAGGGGTCAAGTGAGGCTGGAGGGCAGGAAGGGGCCAGCTCAGGAAGATCCTTAAATGCCAGGTGAAGGACCTGGGGCTTTTCCCTGAGAGCCACGGGAGCCAGGGCAGGGCTTTGAGTAAGGCGTGGTGGGACAGGGCAGGTTGACACCCTCTGGTACCCTGAACTCTGACATCCCCATTGGGGCATCATCAGCAGGCCCATCTCACTCTCCATCCCTGCCACCACGATCCAGCAACCTTGGACAAGTCCCCGGGCAGCGTCCCGTCCCCTCCAAACAAGTCCCCGTCCACTGGAGCAGGCTCCCTAGAGCACATGGATCCCTCGCCCAGACACCTCAGGCCCTCCCCAGTCCTTCCGCAAGAGGTCCCAACTCCCTTACCCTGTCACTCCAGGCCCTTCCCAGTCTGCTCCCACTCTGTACACCCTGCCTCCTCAAACCTGGCTGCCGCTTTCCCTTTCAGTAAGAAAGCTCTGACCCTCCTTTCCGTTGACCAGAGTCCCCTTCCTTTCCAGCATCTTTCCTACTTCCTTGGTCTACCAAGATGCATCCCGCAAGGCCCCGCTCTGCAAATCCCCTGCTCTGCGGGGCCCCTCTCGTTCCTCCAGAAGGGAAGTGGAGGTTCCTTCCTTGGGGGTCTGAGGGTGGAGTGGGGGTTGGAAGCGTTGATGCACCGCTTAGACTGAGTTTGAATCCTGAGTTTTTTCAGTATCTGTGCGACCCTGGACCGGTTCTCTGAGCTCTGTGAGCCTCAGGTGGCTCGTGGTAAAATGGCCACAACAACAGTCCTTACTTCACGGAGCTCTGAGGGAGGCTCACAGAAAACCATGCATCTGGAGTCTGTAGCGCTGAGCCCGGCACACAGCAAGCCCTCTAGAGTGAGTGTTTCCTGTCACTCTGACTGTGGTTGGGGTGCCGCATCTTTTGTACTTGTTTTGTGTCCACCTCCCCAGCATTATAGGTGTTGGGAAGGGCAGGCATTGTTATTCACCTAGGTATGCCCCATGTCCAGCACAAGGTGGGCATTTAACCAGAGATGGGTGGGTGGGTGGGTGGGTGGAAGAAGCTGCCAAGCCACCCCTGCCCCCTTAGAGTCCCCTCCGCTTGGGAAGTGGCAGGCCGGCTTGTTCTTCTATGAACCGAGTGACTGAATTGTGTGTCATGGGACCAGTGTCTGGGGAACACTCTGTCATCAGACAGCCTGTGGTTGGCAGTTTCTTCTGGGGAGAGCTGTCTAGACGGAGGGGACATCTGTGCCGGGGAGGAGCAGGGCCTGCATGGGAATTAGAATCCAGGGGACGGCTTTCCAGGGAAGCTGCTTTCTCCCCTCCTCATCACTTGGGACCCAGCCCAGTGAGTTCGCCACTGGCCCCCAGGGGCAGAAAGTGGTTCCCGGCTTTGACCTGGGGACAACAAATCCAGCGTGTCCCCTCACCAGCCAGTGACAAGGGTGAAGGGAAGGGTGGAGAGTTCATGGGGGAAAGGAACTAACATTCACTGAGCAGTTTTTAATGTGTCGAGCACCATGCTACGTCGTCCATGGTGCGTCGTCCTCACCATAACCCCATGAGGAAAGTCCTCTCGTGTGTTGCCGCTGGATGAAGAAACAGACACAGAAGTTAAGTGACTTTCTTTTGCAAGGGCGGTAACAGGATGGGACCTCAGCTGTGCCCAGCTCCCTAAGGCCATGCTCCTCCCCCTGAATCATACGTCTAGGCCACAAGTATTCCGACCACCTTCCCTTTGCACGGTGCCTGTGGTAAGTGGCGCAAGGCAAGCCAGGAGAATTCAGACGTGGCTTCTTCTCTCAAAGAGTTTATAACTGGAGGGCAGAGGTGAGGCCTTACTTAGCTCTTTGTATTTCCGGCCCAGGGCCTGGCTATACAGTGCACGCTGACGAAAGCACAGATTGTCAGACCTGGAAGGGTCTTCAGAGTTCAAGTATACAAATCCTGTGTGTTTATAGATGGGGAAACTGAGACCTGCAAGGAAGAACTACCTGCAGAGTGTGGTTAGGGGCTTGGGATCTGGAGTCGGGCTACTTGGTTTAAATCTCAGCGTTCCAACACTGTCCAGTTGTGTGACTTTGGGTTGGGTCAAGTAACGTCTCTGAACCTCAGTTTCTTCGGGAAAAAGAAAAGCATGAATTTGTGAAAATTAAGTAAGATCATCCATGCATGGGGATTGGCATAACGCTTAACATGTAATCTCACAGTTTGCTCGGGTCGTGGTTAACCAGCCATACAGTGAGTTAGTAACGGATCCGAACTAGACGCTGGGCTTCCTGACTCGAAGTCCAGTGCTCTTCCCAGCTCTCCACGGTTCCTTGAGTCCCTTGGTGTGTGGGCAGGGGAGAATGGGAGTCACTTAGGGGGAGGAGGTACTGGTACATGTGATCAGGTGTATGCTGCCCTTGGGGACAAGTGCCCACATGGCCTGGATGCCTCCTGCCACCCCTGCTCCCGGTCCCTGAAGTCTCCCCTCGCCCCTCTTCCTCCTTCACTGGAGCCCAGAGACTGACTCCTGACTGGAACACACCAGAAGCAGCCGATAACATCCCGCACCTCCCATCACAATTTCCGCTGCTCCAGGCGCAGTGGGGCTGAGCCCA